ACCAATCTCACATCTGACAGAGGGATGATTTCCAAAATATACAATGAACTTAAGAAGCTAGCCACCAAAACATGAAACAATGAAATTAAAAAGTGGGGTTCAGAACTAAATATAGAATTTTCAACAAAGAATCTGAAATTGCTGAAAGACTCTTAAGGAATTGCTCAAAATCCTTGGCCATCAGAGAAATACAAATCAAAACAACTCTGAGATACCACCTCACACCTTTCAGAATAGCTAAAATCAAAAATACCAATAACAATCCATGCTGGAGAGGATGTGGAGAAAAAGGAACAGTCCTCCATTGCTGGTGGGAGTGCAAACTTGTAAGAACACTCTGGAAATCAGTATGGCAGTTGTTCAGAAAAATGGGAATTAATCTATCTCAAGATCCAGCAATTCCTCTCTTGGGTATATATCCAAATAATGCATGTCCATACAACAAGGACATATGTTCTACCATGTTCATGGCAGCATTGTTTGTAATAGCTAGAATCTGGAAGCAACCTAGATGTTCCTCAACTGAAGAATGGATAGAGAAAATGTGGTACATTTACACAATGGACTACTACTCAGCAGAAAAAAGCAATGGAATCTTGAAATTTGTAGGCAAATGGATGGAACTAGAAGAAACCATCTTGAGTGAGGTAACCCAGTCACAAAAGACAAACATGATATGTACTCACTCATTTATGAATTTTAGACATAGAGCAAAATATTACCAGCCTACAATCCTCTTCACCAAAGAAATTAGGAAACATAAAGGACTCTAGGGGATAGATGCATGGACCCCATGAACAGGAAGGGGCAGGAACTCCTGAGCTTATTTGGAGCATGAGGTTAGGGGAGAGGGAGCTGCCAGAATGAGAGCATGAGAAGAGGAGCGGAGAGGAGGGAATGGAGGAGCAGAAATATTGAGGTGGGGGAAGAATAGAGTAGAGCAGGATGAGAGATACCATATTAGAGGGAGACATTTTAGGGCCAAGGAGAGATCTGACACTAGGGAGATTTCCAGAGACCTACAAGGATGGCATGAACTGACAATCCAGGCATGGTGGAGAGGATAACCTAAATGCCCTTCCCCTAAAATGAGATTGATGACTACTTTTTATGCCATCTTAGAGTCCTCATCCAGTAGCTGATGGAAGCAGAGGCAGACATCGACAGATATACATTGAACTGAACTCTGGAACTTAGTTGCAGAGAGGGAGGAATGAAAATCGAAGGGGTTGGTAACAGGCTGGTGAAACCCACAGAAACAGCTGGCCTGAATAAGGGGAACACATCGACCTCAGATGTTGTCTGGGAGGCCAGTACAGGACTGATCCAGAAACCTGAACATGGATGTCAATGAGGAGGCCTCGGCACTCTAGGGGGGCCCTGGTATTGGATCAGGATTTTTCCCTCATATAAGAAGGGACTTTGAGAGCCCATCCTATGTGAAGGGATGCACTCTTGGCCTGGACACATGGGGAAGGGCCTAGCCCCAGCCCAGGATGATGTGGTGGACTTTTCAGAGCCCCTGTTGAGGGCCCTATTCTGCCTTCGGAGTGGAGGGCAGATGGGGTGGGGAGAAGGTCTGGGATGGGGTAGGAGGGGTGAGGATGAGGCAAGGGAGTGAATGAGGGAGAAGGTATTGACATGTTTAACAAACTTGTTCCTAATTTGAACTAATAAAAAAAGAACTCTTCCAAATGACCAGTGATGCTATTTGCTTATTATTGAGCTAACTGAATTGTCATTATTTATACTTTAATGCTTTTATAGTTATTTGTGATATATAAACACATTTCATTAAAATATGTGTGTACAAATATACACACCATAGATGTCTTTTTCTTTCATCATTATTCTGAATGTATGGTTTTGTCTTTAACATTGTGTGGTGAATATATTCCCACACTAATTGTGATTGTGCAAACATTATATTAAACGTAAGTATGTCTCTCAATTTATTTACATTCTTCCATTGAGTTAAAAAAATAAGGGTTCTTTTACTAATATCTGTTGTGCATATATACAATCCTAAAACATTGGTAATATTTCCTTTGTTTGCATTGGCACTGGAGAAACGTAGCAGTTTTGGAAATACAGTAATATATGGCTGATAAATTTCTTTAAGCTTAAAATATATATAAATTTAGAAAAAATGTAAATTTTTGCTTGGCAAAACACTTCCCCCAAAATGTGAATAGTGGCTTTCCTTTTGCATGGCATTTAAACCCCTAGCGAAGATGAGCCTATAGGAAAATTGTGTTCCTTGTTCAGAATTGCCTTTGAGTTGCTGGATACTGGCACTGAAAGAGATTCTTGCCACTTTCTGGAAGATAACTGGCTTCTTTGTTTGAAGTCTATTCATTAAAATCAACATATCATGTTCTGTGATGTATTTTCAGTAATAATGGTATAAATTTTGAATATATTCCTGTAAAGTATTTAGATATATTTAATATTTATCATTTTTTGGTTCCACAAGTACTGAGGATGGGCAAACTACAAGAAAAATTGCAAGATAATATAATCATAAAAATGAAATCCATTCTGAAACCTAATCTGTTATGAAAATATGAACCACCAAGTCATCTATCAGCAAATGCAATATACAATTCTTGAAGAAATTTTCAGGAAAACATATTTTTTATTACTAGAATAAAACATCAATCATTTTGCTTATTCCTTGCCTGGCTGGAAATCATATGGCTTGCAAATGAATTTTTATTTTCTTTTGATACACTTGCTCTTACAAAGAATGTAGAGGACCTAATTATGACACCCGGGAAGAGGAATGCCAGGTGTAGATAGCGTTTTATGACTTTAGTGTCTATAATTAGATTACTAACCAGATTTTGCCAACTATTTTCTTCTTTTTCTCCTTATGTAAACACACTGAGACACTTCCATATTATTTCTTCCTCACAAACAGGAGCACAGACAGCTCTTGCTTCATCCTATTCATGAATATTCCTAGCCTCCATGCAAAAACTCTCTTGAATTTGTGCTTTAAAAGCATAAGAATTTATTCCGCATACAATTTAAATAACTTAATGATTAGTCAAGCAAGGTTAGCATATTGTGGTGGATTATCTTTATCTATCTATCTATCCATCTATCTATCTATCTATCTATCTATCCATCTATCTATATTCATCATCATCATCATGTATCCTTACCATCTGTCTATCATCCACATATGTAGCATCTATCTACACCTATTTATCTTTTCTAATATCTATCATCTATTAATCATCTGTCTATATCTATTTATCTTACCTATCTAACATCAATCAATCATTTATCATATCCATCCATCATATCTATCATATCTATCTATCTATCTATCTATCTATCTATCATCTAACTATCTATGATGACAAATTTAAAATGCCTTTCAAAATACAGGCAATTTTAGGCTCACAAGATTAACAGCTAATTGTAGAAAGCAGAGTGTTTTAAATATGACAAAGTTTGAGTTTGTTAGTACTTGAAATGAAAATGAAAATTTAAGATAATTTGCTGACACATATAACCTCTCTGAAATATCATTTTACATTCTTCAGCACAAATGTACATATTCAAAGAACAAGATGGAAAATATTTTTAATGTGGTGTCTTCTTATTGCCTCTCAGTGTGTAAACTAGAACCATTTTCTGCAAAGCTCTTGTTTCAGAGTGCAATCCCCATTTGACTTCTGTGTAAAATGCAGCAAACATTTTGGGTACTTGGATTTCACTTGCTTGTTATGCAAAGAATACTTGTAATTGACTGTTGAGTGAATAATGAATGTCATATCAATTCAGAGCACATGAATGAAGACTCTGTTTGTAAAAGTTCTGCTTTCTCCAGAAAGTGCAGACACAGGATCTTTCTTGGGCACTCTCCCTGTTGTGAACACAAACTTGCACTCAAAGACAAAGTGCTGGAGTTTGATTCCTTCTAGAAACAAAATCATCTTTTTTTTATTTATTCAAGTAAATATTTCAAAAAGCACAGTTTTCTATGGCACTCCACCTTTCATTAATATGTTTTCCAGAACAGTCCTTGTAGGTTAATTATATGTACTCAAAGTTGCATCCATAAAAAAACCAGGGGTATTAGTGTTATTAGCACACGATCTCACAGCAAACCTTATTCTTCTCTTTTACAGTCTTTCTTCCCCATTTTGGGCAATGACCCCTGAGCCTTAGGTTCAGATGTTGTGCTGTACATTCCTGTCTTTTAAAGAGTTTTATTCTTTTATATTTACTCACTTAAAATATAGCTGGAGACTGTCACATAACTTTTCAAAATAACTGGCATATTTTTCAACCATTTACTTTTACTTTTAAAAAGGTTCATTCATATTGTTTTGCCTGATTGTAATAATTAAGGTGCTCTTCCCATTTTTTTGATTACTGAGAGCAGCAGTATTTAGCATATTTGTAATTGAATATCTTAAGAAATTCATGTTTGGTTTTAATCATTTTCATTATTTTTTAGTTTTTTTATTTTACTAATACTGCTGCTTCCTTGTTTATAATGCTTACTTTGGGGAAATAGTGTTTTCTTTGTTCCTTAAGTGTCCTAACAAATGTATATTTACATATAGGGGTTATTGAAATGCACAAATACTGTTCACTAAATGAGACAGATATAAATCAAATTAAGAGTATTCCAAATAAAACTCCATGTCTACCAATGTAAATGTCAGTTGAGTTCACATGAAAATTCGAAATACCAACACTTACTGGTATGAGGGTTAACTTTTCTCATTCATTATGTATAGTGCACGAAAGACAAGCTGCTTAGAGGAAGGATAAACAAAAAATAGGAGGGCTGTATTGATATAAGGATGTCTTTATTCAGATAAACACAAGCTGCCGGAGAGAGTGCTCAGGCAGTAGGCTAGGGAGCCCAGAAAAAAGAGAGCCTCCCATGTCTGTCCTCTCTTTAAGAATTCCCCATGTCTCATCCTGAAACTCCCCTGACCACGCCTTTAGCGGCTCCTAGGAGGCGGGGCTACAGTGTCTCCCTTCAGGGTTGTATGCTTCCCAGGAGAGTAAGGAAAAGTAAGACATACTCAAGTGTGGGAACAATCACATGGAGGGAGAGTAAGTAATTCATTGCCCTAATATTAGCCATCTGTGTAGCTCTTTTGGTGGTTCTCGGGTTATATCTCAAAAAGTTGCTAAGGAAACTATCTCCCCCTCTTTTCTGATAAGTGTGATTATAGATAGGCTCGGAGGTGCCTGGAATGAGGTTAATAGAGTAATATCAGAAGTAAAATGCCTGAGACAGTAAAACCAAAAGTGCCCGTGTTTACCAAGGGATTTAGTACAGGTTCTTTCCTTATACATAGACTTTGGTGAGATTACTAGAAAATTGAAGTTTACAGCTGGGAAGGGAGAAAAACCAAATGAAATTATAGAGTAGTTGTTAATTGTGTGGCATTCCTTGATTCTGTACTAACAAGAGGCTTTAAATGAATTCCCTTCTGGGAAGGTTTCTCTCTTTTCTCATGCCCTACCACATATTTTCTTGTTTTTGCAATTCTATCCTCTTTCAGGTTACATTAGTGAGCCAATGAGCTTATTTGGTTTACTAACATATAATAGAGAGGAATAGCTGTATTGCTGCAAAATCACATCCCATCATGATTGTTGATGACCACATCAAATCTTCAACATGGAGTTCCCTTTTTAGTTAACTGTTCAGTTTGTATATATTTTGTTATCTCCCAACATCATCTATCATCTGTAGTTTCAGTAAAAGAGGCAGGAGCTAATAAGACCAAGATGCCCAGAATCTGGGGTGGTGTCTGTCTTCTCCAAATCTGTAGTACCCAAATAATATCCAGCAACTTATACTTGGAGAAGACATATAATATTCTAAGTAATATTCTAAGTAAACACATCTGGAAAAGAGAATGACATGTTTCCATTTATTGAAAGAAACATAGATGATGCAATTAAAGTGCAGTTGCAGAAATCAAACCAGTAGTACCCGAAGATGAAAGCAAAGGAGGAGGGTTGCAAAGGGCGTGAAGGAACACGAGAATAATATGTCAATCTATTCTTGTCTTTGTTTCTTTTTTTCTTTTGCTGTGATAAAAATACTCCTATAAAAACAACTTCAGAGAGAAAGAGTTTATTCTGGCCCACACAGTTGATAGTAAATCATAAGAGGGAAATCAAGGAAGAAGGAGCACAAAACAGCCGGTCAAATCATCCACACCAAGAATCAGGAGTGATGAATGCTTCTGCTGACCAGTTCTGTTTCTCTATTCAAATAATCTGGCATCCTAGACTGAGAATGGTGTCACCCAGCAGGGGCAGTTTTTCTCAGTTCATTTAAACACTAAAGATGAATCTCCACCTTGATGTCCAATGGCCCATCTCTTAGAAGGTTATAGATTCCATCAAATTGATAACACTAATCATCATAATTGTTTTAATTTATGTGACAGTTTTGTGTATTTAAGCATATAGCAAACCTTATCAAATTGCACATATTAAATAAATGAGTTTTTAATTGTGTGACATTTATCCTTCACTACAACTGCTTATGGGGAAGGAGAAAAAGTAATCTCATTATATATGTATATATGTACATATATATTCATATTCGTGTTTTTATTATTCATTAACACTTCTGTCTCAATCTTTAAAGCCTGAAAATACTGGTTTCTCACTTGCCCATGTAGAGAGCTGTGATGACCAAGGGAGGCTATATGAAAAACTATGCCTAGGTGTGAAGTGATATACAATCATGTATAAGCTGTTATGATGCCATTGATGCCCTAACCAGGTTTGAATACAGAATTCCCGAGGCACTGTTTTTTTATTTGTGTATTTGTATGTATGTAACTACCTCTAAGTGTTTGTGTATGTATATGTATGTGTATATATGTGTATATGAGTATATTATGAATGAATGTGTATATATATGCATGTATCTATCTTTTACTGTGTATGTATATTTGTATGTGAAAGTGTATGTGTTGATGATTATGTGTGTGTGTGTGTGTGTGTGTGTGTGTGTGTGTGTGCATGTGTATTGACATACATTATAGATTATGGAACAACTGGGATGAACCATTCTTCAGAAATGTCTCAAAACCCCAGGTTTGAATAAAGAAGAAACATGTATGAGAAGATGATCCATGCCATTCTTCTATACAATGATTCTTTAGAGAAAGAGTTCATAACTTAAGAACTAGATAAGCAAAACATGACAAAATAACAACTATGCTAAAAATATTTCTCTTATCCAAGGTAATTCCTGCCCAAGGTAAACAGCCCCTGGGATTAACTACATAAGACATACACAAGATGATGCCAGTTACAAATTCCAGCAAGAATACGGAAGGAACTACAGAGGCCTCAGCCCAAGCTAAGGAGCTTTTGGTAGTTGGTGGTTGCTAGGGTGGGAAAGTTGCTTTTCTTGGGAGGTGTGGCCATTTGTATGTTATCTATACCCCTACAGGTAACCTCACATCTATGTACATATGCACAGCACTAATCAGATCATTGGGGAAACATAGATAAATACAAAAGGAGAACATTAATTTAGGAGGTTGATGTGTTGTGGGAGGAATACCCCAGGAGAAATTGGATGGAGGAAACAGAAGGTAGATAGGCTCAAATTGTGCAACTTATCTGTGTTAGGTTATTTTCAATTGGAAAGTTCTAATAAATTAAAAAAAATGACTGGAATCATGACTCACTAAACATAGCCTCATTGTCATACAGGCTTCTCTCCTAGAGATGTATGATCTTGCAAAGTTAGCAGTGTAGCTTCTACCCTGGTTTCTTTTTCTTTTTCCTCCATTTTCATTTAAATTAGAAACATGATTGTTTTACATGTCAATCCCAGTTCCCTCTCCTTACCCTCCTCCTCTGCTGCCCCCCCCCCACTAACACCCTACCTATTCCATACACTTTCTGCTCTCCAGGGAGGTTGAGGCCTTCCATGGGGGTGTCTTCAGAGTTTGTCATATCCTTTGGGATAGGGCCTAGGCCCACCTCCATGTGTCTAGGCTCAGAGAATATCCCTTTATGTGGAATGGGCTCCCAAAGTCCATTCCTCTCCTAGGGATAAGTACTGATCCACTACAAGGGGCCCCATATATTTCCAAGGTATCCTCACTGACACCCACATTTATGGGGTCTTGATCAGTTCCATGCTGGTTTCCCAGTCTGGGGAGCAAGAGCTCTGCCTTGTTCAGGTCAGTTGTTTCTGTGGGTTTCACCAGCCTGGTCTTGACCCCTTTGCTCATCACTCATCCTTCTCTGCAACTGGATTACAATTCAGTATTTAGCTGTGGGTCTACTTCCATTAGCTACTGGATAAAGGCTCTATGATAGCATATAAGTAAGACATCAATCACATTATCAGGGGGGGGCATTTAAGGTAGCCTCTCCTCTGTTGCTTAGATTGTTAGTTGGGGTCATCCGTGTATATCTCTGGACATTTCCCTAGTGCCTGGTTTCTCTTTAAACCTATACTGGCTCCCTCTCTGATGGTATCTCTTATTTTGCTCTCCTCTATTCTTCCCCCCATTCAACCTTCCTGCTCCCTTATGCCCTCCTCACCCCTTATCTTCTCCCCTTCTCATTCTCCTAGCTCCCTTCTCCCCTCCCCCCATGCTCCCAATTTGCTCAGGAGATCTTGTCCTTTCCCCTTCTCCACTGGACCATGTATGTCTCTCTTAAAGTCCTCCTTGTTTCCTAGCTTCTCTGGCTCTATTCTAGTTTTGGTTTCTTGAAAAACAAGGCGAAAATCTGTGCCTTATCTGTGCCTATGAGTTTTGAAAGCAAGAAGCAGACAGGAAAGTAAACCCAGAACTTGATATGGCAGATACTTGCAGATATTGACATTTCTTGAATCCAGACAGCAATTCACCTCAGCAAGTTGCATGGGTGTTGTTTTCTTGTTGGGGCAGTTTATGAGTGTGGTTGTGATGGAGCAATCCTGAGTGAGTGGAATGAGGACAAGACACTGTAAAAATGGTTTCTGCATGTACCAAAGATTCACATTTCATAACTTGTAGAGTGACTGAATACTGAAAATGAGTAAGAGTAGACATAAATAGAGATTTCTAGTTAAAAGGGTAATGGTGAAATAGATTGCCCTCTAATATGAAAAGAAAGTAAATATGTAAACAATGACAGCATATGATTGAAGCTAATACGAGAAAAGAATAAGATGAGTATAGGTAAAACGGACACAAACTTGCTAGTGGAACCTTAATTATGGTACATAAACAACACTGATATGTATCTGTAGGTCATGCCTATCTATCAATGATCTACCATTCATCTTTCCATGTGTCACTGTCATCTATCTGTCTCTTTCATTACATCTCTATTTCTCCATCTTTGACTGTCTCTATCAACATATCACCTACCATATCTCTTTTTCACTTATCATCTATCTACCATCTATCTATCTATCATCTATCTATAATCTACACATGTATGTGTCATTAATCTATCACCATTAGTTTAGTAAAAGACATTAAGATAAAAAAGATACAAAAAAGAAAATTGAATGTTTATGTAAATTATCAAAGGCAGATGCTTGAAAAGTTATTTTATATAAATAGAAATTAAGAATAACTAGTGACACACTGGATACGCAAAAATAACCGCAAGTTCAGGAGAGATTTGATGTTGTGTTGTCATGACCCTTAATTTCTCTGTAAACATGATCATTTTTACCCACCTTTTTGAAATTTTCCTGTTGTTTTAAATCTTTCGGGTATTGAAACTTGATTATTCTCATTAACATAGCTTTGGATAATTCAAATTATGATTAGTTTTTCCTTCTTATTCTTAATTTTCTGGGATCCTGTTTAAATTGCATCTCCCACTAAACTAGGCACTTCTCACTTAGCCACACTTGTGGTGAGTTTCATCTTCACTGCTTCTCTCAATTGCCTTGGTTTTTCAAGTCTTTTAACTGGATTGTTTCCTTCTTCCTTTGAGTGTTTATACATAACTCTTTATGTATATCTCATACACTCAAATTCATTTCCATTTATTTTATCCCTCAGCCTGACCTGTAACTTATTTTACTTAGAACAACTTCACAGCCTAAATCAGATAGACAAAATATTCTCTGATGTCTACTCCATATCATTTTTTCATTTTCCAAGTGCAGATGGAGTTTATGGCATTGTAAAGGAATGCTAGAATAAGACAAATTTTATTTCAAGCCCAAATATACCACTGCTAATTAGGCCCTTTTGATAGGTGACTCACTTGGGAGATGGCTTAAACTTTTAGAAACAATCAACCTTAGTTTGGAACAAATGGTAGCACAGAGTTCTCATATACACTGTGTCCACCCATGTACAACCTCTCTTCTAAAGTTGTGCACCAGAATGCATGTCCTATCATCAGTGAACCTATGTTGGCAAGGTTATCATCCAAACGTCGAGGTCTCTATTAGGTTTCAGAAGATATTTAGGCACTATGGTGAATGCACGGTAACATGTGTCCATCATTGTGCTATCATAACAGTACTTTGACTTCCTCAGAAACTATGTGTTTCACCTATTCGCACCATCCAACTAATTAACTCCTGCATCCTGCTGTCTCAGCCTAATCACTCCTGCACACCTGCTGATGCTTCTATCTCCAGTTTTGTGGTTGTTTTAAAATTGAAAACTGTGTGAAAACCAGTCCAGATTGACTTGTTTTCACTTAGTAACACACACAAGGTTTCTGTATGTCTTTACATAGCTTAATAAATGACTTCTTTTTGTTGTTAAGTAACATACCTTTCTGTGAACTTGCAGGAGTTGATTTATGCATTTACCTATTATAGGCCATTTTTTGTGGTGATTTTTTTATTTAAATTAGAAACAAGCTTTTTTGCCATGTCAATACCAGTTCTCTCTCCCTCTGCTCTCCCCCTGCCCCCCCACAACAGATCCCCTTTCTGCTACCCAGGAGGGTGAGGCCTTCCATGGGGATCTTCAAATTCTGTCATATCATCTGGAGCAGGGCCTAGACCCTCCCCCATTTGTCTAGGCCGAGAGAGTATCCCTCCATGTGGGATGGGCTCCCAAAGTCCATTCCTGTACTAGGGATGAATACTGACCCACTAACAGAGGCCCCATCGATTGCCCAGGCCTCCTAACTGACATCCATGTTCAGGGGGTCTGAATCCGTTCTATTCTGGTTTCCTAGCTATCAGTCTGGGGTCCATGAGCTCCCCTTTGTTCAGGTCAGTTGTTTCTGTGGGTTTCTCCAGGCTGGTCATCACCCCTTTGCTCATCACTCCTCCCTCTTTGCAACTGGATTCCAGGAGTTTGGCTCAGTGCTTAGTTGTGGGTCTCTGCTTCTGCTCCATTAGCTACTGGATGAAGGCTCTAGGATGGCATATAAAGTAGTCATCAATCTCATTATCAGGGAAGGTTATTTAAGGTAGCCTCTCCACTATTGCTTGGATTATTAGTGAGGTTCATCCTTATAGATCTCTGGACATTTCCTTAGTGACAGATTTCTCTTTAAACCTACAATGGCTCCCTAGGATATGAGGGAACAGGAAGATTGAGCAAGAAAAGAGATATCATAGGCCATTTTTGAAAATTGGTAATAAGGTCTTTTAAAACGTATGTGAGAAAACTTTCCCATTGTTTCATTAAAGACGCTTAATTACTATATTCTCTAACACATTTAGTTTTGCAAGGAACAACAAACCATTTAAAAAGTGAATATGGGCTGGGCATTGTGCCTCATGCCTTTAATCCTAGCACTTGTGAGGCAGAGGCAAGATGGTCTCTGTAAATTTGGGGCCAGCTTGGTCCATGTAGATAGTTCCAGGACAGCCAGGACTATGTAAAGTGTGCTAATACTCCCCTAAAATATAGAAAATATAATTTTTTGTCTGTTTCAGCAATGGACAAAATTTCTCTTCTTCACTTCCTTCTGGCACTTGATGTCAATGTGTTCATCTCAGTGTATGAACAGTGGCCATCTCAAAATTATGATTTGCAACTGTAACAAATGCCAGAAGTTCATTTACATGGTTACTAATCATTTGCATGTCACATTTCATGAGTTGTCTGTTCAAGTCTTTAGTTGATTTTTAAATGTGGTCATTTGATTTTTATTATTACAGTCTAAGAAACCTTTATATACCTTAGTATGTGTACTTGGAACAACAATACTTTATAAAACATGTCTTTTGTAAATATTTTCTTCTAGTCTGTGGCATGTCTTCCCATTCTCTGAGCAGGAAGAATTTTTTAATTGAAGAACTTCATCATATTAAATACTATTGACATGTAAGGTACCTCTTGTGTTTTACCTAAAAATGTCATAACCATAACCAAGGCAGGTGAGGTTCACTTTTATGTCATTGTTTTTGTCACTTTATGGTTTTGTGAATTACT